GCTCATCCTCCGGTACTGCATCTGATAATAACAGTCTGCTGCTCTTCATGACATTTCAATAGTCAAGATTTCGCTGCTGGCAGTGTTCCACTGTTATTCATAAGGTTTTCAGTGACTAAATTTTCAGAAGTAGTTCGTTTCTCCTTCTTCCCAGTCTGTCTTTGTCTGGAAGCTCAGCAGAAACCGGTCCACCATGGGTGACCCTGCTGGTATTTGAAATGCCCAAGGCATAGCTTCCAGCATCACAGCAATATGACAGACAACACAGTACGACAAATGGACAGACGAGTGGGGGAAAGAGCTGAACAGAACATTTTAAACTTAGTTCGAGAAGACAAAGTCAGGTATCATGATGAAATTTGCAAAGACTGGGCTTAGACAACCAAAGGGGAAGAACACGCTCAGCATTTCTCAAGCCATGGGAACTGAAGAAAATTTCAAACATTGACTTAAAATATTGAAGAGTTCTATGGGCAAAATAGGAGCTCTGGTAGCGCAGTGGTTACAAATCGGGCTGCGAACTCTAAAGTCAGCAGTTCGAAACTACCAGCTGCTCTGCAGGAGAAAGATGAGGCTTTCTGCTCCCGTAAAGATTTACAGCCTCAGAAACCCTGTGCAGGGTCGCTATGAGTAGGAACCGATTTCCACAGCATGTAACAACACCAACATGAGCAAAATGGAGTCCTGGTGTGGCGCTGTGGGTTAATGTGCTGCACCACAAAGCCATCTGAATCACAAGGTCGGTGGTTCAAGCTCACCAACCTCCTTGGAAAACGCTATACAGGGTCACTCTGGGTCAGCATCAACTTGATGGCACTTTAACAACAGGAATGGCAAAATACTGACCGATGCAGAAAGCATCAAAGGAACACGGAAAGAATACACAGAATCATTGTACAAAAACTAACGGTAGATGTACAATGATTTCAAGAGGTAGCATACGATGAACAGCCAGTGATCCTGAAGGAAGACGTGCCAGGCGCACTGAAGGCACTGGCAAAGAACAAGGCTTCAGGAATTGATAGAATACAAACTGAAATCTTTCAACAAACTGATGTGGCACTGAAGCCCCTTACTCATCTATGCCAAGAAATTTGGAAAACGGGTACCTGGTCAACTGATTGAAAAAGATCCCTATTTGTGCCCATCCCAAAGAGAGGAGACCCAATGGAATGTGGACATCGCCAGGCAGTATCATTAATAGCAGGTGCAAGTAAATTTTTGCTAAAGGTAATTTAAAAAATGATTCCAACAGTACACTGACGGAATTCCCAGAGGTTCAAGCCAGATTCGGATAAAGATGTAGAATGAAGGATATTAATTGTTGACATCAGATGGATCATGGCTGAAAGCACAGAATACCAGAAAAATGTTTACCTGTGCTTTATTGACTACGCAATGGGTTTTGATTGTGACAAGCTATGGACAAGACCACGGATGATGAATGTTCTGGAACACTTAACTGAGGAACCCATACAGAGACTAAGAGGTAGCTATTGGAACAGAACAACGGAACACTGAATGGTTTAAAATTAGGAAACGTGTGCACCAGGGTTGTATTCTTTCACCATACTTACTCAATGTATATGCTGAGCACATAATTAGAGAAACAGAATTATATGAAGAAAAACGTGGCATCAGAATTGGAGGAAGACTCATTAGCAATCTGTGATATGCAGATGACACAATCTTGCTTGTTGAAAGAGAAGAGGACTTAAAATAGTTACTGATGAAGATCAAAGAGCACAGCCTTTGGTATGGATTACATCTCAATGTCAAGAAAACAAAAATCCTCACCACTGGACAACATTCTTATCAATGGAGAGAAGGTTGAAGTTGTCTAATACTTCTGTTTTCTCGAATGAACCATCAACACTCAGGAAAGCAGCAGATTTAACAAGTCTGCTGCACAATTCCTCATTAAAGTGCTGAAGAGCAAAGGTGTCAATTTGAGGACTAAGGTGCATCTGATCCACGCCATGGTATTTTCAATCACCTCACATGTATGTGAAAGGTGGACCACGAATACCAAAGACCATAGAAAAATTGATGCATTTCAGGTGTGGTGTTTGAGGAGAATATTAAAAGTACCACAGACTGTCAGAAGAACAAACAAGTCTGTGCTGCAAGAAGTACAGTCAGAATGCTCCTTGGAAGCCAGAATGATCAGACTTTATCTCTCATAATTCGCACATGTCATCAGGAGGGGGCCAGTCCCCGGAGAAGGACATCACGCTTGGGAAAGTGGAGGGTCAGTGAAAAAGAGGCAAACCCCCAATGAGCTGGGCCGGCACAGTGGCAGCAGCGGTGGGCTCAAGCGTAGCCCCAAGTGTGGGGATGGTGCCGGAGCTGCCACAGTGTTTGGGTCTGTTGTGCATGAGCTCACTATGAGTTGGTACTGACTTGATGGCACCTAATAAAAACCCGTACAATATGGAACGTGATCGTGCATAAAGTACCAATGTCATCGTTCTCAGATGCAATGCTTGCAAGCCACAAAGACAAAGAAAAGACCAGATTTATAAAGATACTGATGACAGAAGGCAGGTGTGAGGTATTTGGCCCACGTCAGTAACGGCTTACAATGGAACACTTGTTGGAACGACCTCTTCAGAGCGAGTATCTTCGGCGTCCCATCGTGAGCGGCCAGCCCCCAGCTCTCACCTGGCGGTGTAGACAGTCCTTGTTTGCTATTTCATTCTCCAGTTTGTCGTTGAGGTCGTGCACAGACGTCGCCTCCCGCTGTGCGGCGAGGTAGCGCTTTTCAAGCGTTGTGATTCTCTCTTCCATGTCTTCCTTCTGGGCCACGGCCTACAGGGGGAGCACAGAGACCCTTTCTTAACCAGCGGAAAGGTGACACCTACGGAACACGCTGTCCTTACGTGATGCTGAGTCAGGACCGACTCAGCGACCCTGGAGAGGGTTTCTGGGCACCTTGCGCTCCAGAGCTGAGCCTATAGCACCACCACAACAACGTATTTCAGCATCTTCACCATGAAACATAGAGACACTAATTCTCTCAAATGTGACTAAACGTATCAACCCAAACAGCATAGGGAGTGGCCTCTTAACCAATTAGGAAAGAACGCTCTGTCCTCTCAGGGTCCCAAGCCCATCCCTCTCTCCACGTGATGGCGAAGGAGTAATAATGAGATGCCCCCTACCACAGGTGAAGGCTCACAGCACCCAGTGCTGGGGAGCAGCATGACTCTGGGAGACAGAGCAGACCTGCCCACAGGTTTCCCGCACTGCGCATCTTTACGGGAGCAGATGGCCTCATCTCTGTCCCCGGAGCGACGCTTGGTGGGTCTGAACTGCCGACCTTTCAGCTAACAGCCGAACACTTAATGCCTACGCCACCAGCGCTTCTTACAGCTCATACAAGCCTATCAACAAATGTAAACGTTTGTTTTAACTGAAAGCAACGGCCCAGAATCAAATTCACAGTGAGATCATGCAAGGAAAAAACAAAGCTGCTGGCAGTGTGGTGATTCCGACGCACCTCAGCTCTACGAGGCAACGCGGAGCTGCCCGTGATGTTTCTGCAACAGTCGACCCTTTTGGGGGCACACTGCCTTGTCCTTCTCTCCATGAGTGGCTGGTGGGTTTGAACTGCTGACCTTGCGGTTAGCAGCCCAACACTTAAGCCACTACACATCACTGGGACTTCAATGAGACTAGGGTCAGAGCTCTTCACTTGTAACTCCACTCACTCATCCCCTAACTCACTGCTCTAATGGCCCTACCTCTTTGCTAAATGATTAATGGGTCACAAAGGTTTACTATTAAGAACAGGTTGTAAAAGGAATTTCAAAATCCCTGGCATAATAAACCCTACCCATTGTCCACTGCTTTCAGAAGTAAAGTAAGACATGTACTGCCGTCAAGTCGGTTCCAACTCACAGGGCTTCCGAGGAGCGGCTGACGGGTTAGAAATGCTAACCTTGTGGTTAGCAGGCCAGTGCTTACCCTACAGTGCCACAGCAGAACTTTACTAAACTCATACACAGGACTGTTTACTGAAGCTCTACGTAACCTTCCTCAAACAGAGCCACAGGCTGGAAGGGAAGGCACTGTGCACGTGCTTCAAACAGCCCAGAGGGCCTCCTGGGTGGGCGGTGGCCTGGGGCAGGCGAGCCAGCCCCCAGACAGCTCCCCATAAAGCACTGGCCACGCAGGCGTGTTTCCAGAAAGAGGTGGAGTTCTGCATGTGAGCACAAGTGTTTGAAGAGCGTGATCGCACCTGCACAGAGGGGGAGTGGATTCTACACTCTCACTGCTCGTCTGACCACCGGGAGCAGAATGTCAGAATCTCCTCGTGCCCCCAGCACGGTCCGCAGTCCACCCTCACGGCACTGGGTGGACTCTGCATAGTGCTTCCCTGCAGGGAGTGTGGCTCAGCGGACGCCTCGTCACACACGGGACGCCTGTGGCCTCACGGCACTTGCCCCTGTGAGCACTCACCTCACGGACGTCTCTCTGCAGCTTGGTGTTCACCTCTTCGGACTTGATGAGGTCCTTCCTGGCAGTGTCCAGGTCCTCCTCCAGCTCAGTAACGTGGCTGGCCAGGCTGGCCAGGCGCTCCTTCATCTGGCTCTGCTCACGGGATTGCTTGTCGATGGTGTCCTGGAGCTCCACCACCTTAGCGAGCGCCTCATCGGGACCCAGGGAGCCGTCCGAAGACCTCTGTGGAGACACAGCCCCCTCAGCCCAAGCACAGACATGGGCCTGCTCAGGCCGAAGCAGCTCTGTCAACAGCATCCCACAGGGCCCCACCCAGGCGCACCCAGGCCCTGCAGGTGGGCGAGCAAACAAGGGGAAGCCGCCTCGAGGAGCTGACTTGCCTTCCCATTCGTGCTTGGTGTACTTTCTTGTTCATGGTTTATGTTCAGCATCCCATCTGTTAGAGATTTTTTCTGATTATTCTGTTCTTTAAGGATCATTAGCTAAAACCAAAAAAATAGAATACAAGAAAAAAATGTCATAATTAAAAGGAGTAATAAAAGAAAAGAAAGCAAAATTCCCTTTGAAAAACCGTAAACAGCAAAGTTCACAACAGGAGGAAAAGCCAACAGGGCGACATGAGCTGCCCGAAATCTAGCAGAGGGTCCAGACAGGGCGCTTCTCTCCCAGGAGCTAGCTGGCTGATGATCAGAAGGGTAGTGTCATCAGTGGGGGTCCCTGGAGCACTGTGCTCTTGATCTTTATGGGATCAAATCAACAGCAGCGGCTCAACAGGAAGCTGAGGGCAGGCAGAGCTCAGACACGGCGGCTGGAAGACCCCACGTGTGTAACACTGAGCTGGCGTCTGCTCCAGTGGGCGCCTTCTCAGCAACAAAGAGATTGTTTCCAAAAAGAAAGAGAACGCACCGCACAAAGAAGAGAGCGCTGGGTGAAAGGGCCCAGGTAGGTCAGTCCTCGGTCAGGAAGCTGAGCGGCCCCTGGTGTCCACTGTTAGTGTTCCCACAGCTGTCAGTCTGTTTCTTCATTAGGGCTTAATCATTGAAACCCTGCCAACTCAAACCCTCTAGTAGCGTAGTGGTTACGAGTCGGGCTGCTAACCTCAACGTTGGCGGTTCGAAACTACCAGCTGTTCCGCGGGAGAAAGATGAGGCTTTCTGCTCCCGTAAAGAGTTACAGCCTCGGAAACCCTGTACAGGGTCGCAGTGAGTAGGATCCGACCCCACGGTACTTACCAACAATTCAAACCCCATGATGCACATCACACTTACCTCTTTGTGGGTGGCACCCAGTTCTTCTTCTAATAAGCTACACCTTTCCAGAGCTACTCGTAGCCGCTCCCTCACCTGAAAATGAGAGGGGCCGCGTTAGTACGTGCTTCTGCATGACCTACTACTGTAAGGACCTCACGTCAGCGCCGCTCACGGAGGACCTTTCCCTGCCAGTGCAGGAGAGCGAGTGTGAGCAGGAGTTTCCCTCCCAGTACACCCAACGCTGCTGCGGCTGCTATTGTTGGGATGTGTCATCGACTCGGTTCCGACTCGGTTCCACCAGGCACAGGGGTTCTGTGGATGTCAATCTGTGCAGCAGAAAAATCTTTCTCCTGTGGAGCGGCTGATGGGCTCGAACCGCCAACCTTGTGGCTAGCAGCCCAGTGCTAATCCTACAGAGCGGAAAGTCAGTATACAGAACACATCAGTTCTAAGACATCTGACGGCGCCAGCACCTGTTCCCACACAGAACCCAGCGTCTCACAGAGGAATCTGGTTCATTTACCAGAATTCCAGAGACTTCCAAAATGAAACCCATGTCACACACATAAGAACCAGCTGCCTAGTGTGTGTGTGTGTTATGTGTGTGTGTGTGTTGGGGTGGGGCTTCAAAAAGTTGATGGAAAAATTCTCCTATCTTTTCGTTCCAGTTTTCCATGAACTTTGTGAAGCCCCCTCATATCCACAGATCAGTTCTGTGGTGGGCAGTACCTTCTCGTCCAAGGCCTTGTGGTGCTCAAACAGTGATTTCAGGGCTTTAAGAACCTCCACTTCGCTGGACACGCCTGCTGGCGACTGAGCCTGTCTCTTCACCACTGTCATCCTGAGGGACCGTTCATGCCTGGAGACGAGGCATTCCAGATGCTCCAACAAGAGCTGAAAGAAAGCGCCAAAAACCAGAAAACAAGCACACTTTAGTTTATTTCCTGCTGGGGTGTAGAGCAAACGCCTTCTTTGGGTGCTGATTCTGAAACAAGAATGGATCATGGTCACAGCCCTCCCACCCCCAGCCTGAAACCACAAGAGCCAGATGGGGCACAGCTTCCAAAAGCAACCACTCTGAAAGGAATCACATTAAAAGGTCTGGATATAGTGGGAAGAAAAGAGACCCACACTCAAAATCATTAAAAAAAATTAAAAATAGACCTGCCCTACTGGTTACTGATCAGTTAGAGACTGGTGGAACCCCAAGAGTACGGCCCTCAGTTAGTCCTCAGGTCTGCTGGACTGAACACACCCCCGTGACTCCTCAGACACCAATGAGGTCTGAAGGGCAGCTCTGACCCAAGGACAACGTCCATAAGGGTGAGGACAGAGGGAGGGGACAGGAAGCCCCGGAGGACGTGGGCTGAGTGATGTCACAACACAGGGACTGCAGTCCATGAGACGAAACAAAGTGTGTCGGGACTGTTGAATGGAAATGCATCTGCACTGCCAACCTTCACCCAATTCAAACCCAAAGCATTATAACTCTATATACATATATGACACCACACAGTGAGTCTCCCCCAAGTGTACTAGCACATCATCATTCCACTCAAATTCCCACTCAGCAGGAAAATGCATTAAAACGTGTTCAAAACCAGGAGGAGGAGATGGAATCTTCAGGCTTCCAGAGAGCAGCACTGACCTTGCCCTGACTCTCGGTGGGGGGGGCTCTGAGAGTGCTTAGAAGCCCCCACTAACCCTGGTGCTGTTTTCCACCGTCCCTCCAGGAGCCCCCACTAACCCTGGTG